TCCAATGAGTCTGGTCACTGTAGGCACTTGCACTCACAAACACACCCCATAAACATATGATTAAAATGATAAAAATTAATTAAACAATTCAGAATCAATTTCGCATGTTTAGACTTTTGTGTGTATGCATATATTTGCATGTCCATGTATTATCATGTTCACATATATACACATGTGTGTGCCTGTATGCATGAACAGGTGTTTGGAGGACTGAGTTTCTCCTTCAATCACACTTCATCTTATTTCTGAGACAACATCTCTCTCTCTCTCTCTCTCTCTCTCTCTCTCTCTCTCTCTCTCTCTCTGCCTGATCCCTGATCGTCACTGATTTGGCGAGTTGAGTGGTCAGCAAGCCCAAGGATTCTCTGTCTCCTCCTCAGTGCTGTGATTGAGGAAGTACACAGCCATGTCAACATTTTATGTTTGGACTGGGGGCCAAAGTCATGGTTTCATAGCAACCCCCACTCATGCCTGTTCTATTCACATAGCATACAGTCTTAACAATATTTGCTACACTAAATCCTGATATGAGATAGTTTTGTTTTAATCTAACAATTTTCCTTCTCCTTTCAAACCTGTTGTGGTTACTTGAGGCTATTTGCATTTTCAAATAAAATGTATAAGAATGGCTTAAATTTCTAGGATATTCTTTTGATATCTTGGTATTTCAGATGGAATTTCATTAAATCTGTTGTGCAGTTAAATGAAAATTAACAATCCTAACAGTGAAGAGTTCTAAATCCATTAACATGATATGTTTCTATTGCTCTGTTAAATTGTCTCCATTATTTCTTTTTAGTAATAATTTTTCATTTTAACACAGTCATGCATAGATGTCACTTTTATTCCTAATAAGAATCACTATGCTATTGCAATGGGGCTACTTTGGGTTGAAAATCTAGTCACCATTTTGCCTTCCTTTCTCCTTTTTTCCTTTTTTAATAATGTGATTTTGTGGGTTTGGGGGTGGAAATTCCTATGTATTTTTCTTATAGAGTCAGGTTATGATTTTTTTTATTCTGAAAATATTCTTTGTCAAGGGTATACCTATTAAGTGTAATGACCACATGTATGTCTCTCTCTCTCTCTCTCCTCTCTCTCTCTCCCTCTCTCTCTCTCTCTCTCTCTCTCTCTCTCTCTCTCTCTCTCTCTCTCTCTCTCTCTCTCTGTGAATTCTGTCTTACCTTGCCTTATTGTTAAAACCTTCTCCAGATGTCAGATTATTGGCTGGTCTTTTTGTTTCATTTTTTACTTTTAGTGTTTGAAATAAACCATTGAAATGGCTATCAGCTCCCATTACTTGTGAACAAGAAGTCAGTCACTAACCATACTAATGTTTTCTCATATGTAAGGTCATTTTTACTTGCCACTGCTACGCCCACGGTGGTCACGCCGGTGTAGCAGAAGATGCCACTAAGGTGGGTTAAGGCCGCTGGGTTGGGGTCTGCGCTCCCTGGAGATGAGCCCCAGGCGGTTCCCTGGCAATCAGCTGTGATCATGATGCCCAGATGAGTCAACTCGAAGCCGCTGTCTTTGGTGCCACTGCAGCCTCTTCTTCCTTGTCTTTTTGTTCTGTGTATTTCTTGTATCTT